ATAGTCCAGATTAATCTTGTAGCCCATTAAAAAAAAGACAGATTTGTAAATAAAAGATCAAGGACACAGAAGGCAGGTTTAGGACTGAGGCAGGGCTGGCAGTGAAATATTATACCAACCATTCAGGTCTGCTGCTCCAAACAGAGGAAGTTTCCATCCCTCATTGCTCCATGGAAGGACATTCTGTGATTGCCAGGTTAAGAGAATACAAGGAGGAATATTTTTATAAACAGTATTCAGGGTTCTCACTCATTTATAGGACAGTGCAAAAGTCAGAGCACCCTTCATGTACGTCCTTTCCACTCAAAATTGCTATTAAATAAATCAGCTCATCATTTCTCAGAGTCAGGAAAAAAGCAGAGCACACATATAACAGAAATTTGACTATAAGGTGGGCAGCTATGCGATTTGATGAGGAGACTGTACAGTTCAATCATCCCTCAAAGGAATTTAGTAACCCTGAGATTAATAACTGATCACATTGATTTATCAGTCCACTCAGGCTTTAGCAGAGCTCAGTAACACTGAGATTAAAACTTGTTTAACTCATTGATTTATCAGTCTACTCAGGCTTTAGCAGAGCTCAGTAACACTGAGATTAATAACCGATCACATTGATTTATCAGTCTACTCAGGCTTTAGCAGAGCTCAGTAACACTGAGATTAATAACTGATCATCACATTGATTTATCAGTCTACTCAGGCTTTAGCAGAGCTCAGTAACACAGATTAATAACTGATCATCACATTGATTTATCAGTCCACTCACGCTTTAACAGGAACGTCAGTGCTTGAGTTAATCTTTAGAGCATGTCTTTATACGTACTGATTTTGAAATTGTTAATAAACAAACATTGATGGTGTTTCTTTAAAAGATATATTTTAAATTTAGTAGCTAAATATGATAACTTCTGTATTCTGAATACCTATTCCCAATACTTGTATTCTGTTATAACCCAAACCTTATTAAGTGGCAGCATGTTTGATGTTGGAAATAAACTTTCCAAGAGGAGAGTTGGTGAACACTGGTTCAGTGCTTAATGACTACAAGACAATCATATAAATATCTCAACAATTTTTCCACATCTGAAGCCAAAGCATGTTACCATTTTACAGCTAATGAACACTTTGAATGTCTTTTTACACTGAATGAACTTAACACAGGTATCATTTGGGTGGTGCATCATTCTTAGCACTGCATTGACACTGACGTTGTGGTGGTGTGTTGGTGTGTGTTGCGCTGGTACGAGTGGATAAGACACAGCAGTGCTGCTGGAGTTTTTAAACACCTCACTGTCACTGCTTGACTGAGAATAGTCCACCAACCAAAGATATCCAGCCAACAGTGTCCTGCGACCACTGAGGAAGGACTAGAGGATGACCAACACAAACTGGGCAGCAGCAGGTGAGCTACTGCCTCTGAGCTTATATCTACACAGGGTGGGTGGATAACAGAGTGGACAGTATGTGGACACGGTTTAAAAACTTCAGCAACACTGCTGTGTGTGATCCACCGGTACCAGCGGAACACACACTAACACACCACCACCACCACGTCAGTGTCACTGCAGTGCTGATCACCACTCCATGGGCACCACCCTGACCATTGAAGAACAGGGTGAAAGGGGGTAACTAAGTACAGACCATGTCCAAGTTCTTAGACTAAATTTGAAATGATCATCCAAGACCAAACCAAAAAAACAACCACTCGCACTGCCAGTTTGACTCCAGTTCAACTTCTCAACCCTGCTTCAGGACCCTGGAGAGCTACCGTCTCTCCGGCTTCAGCCGAAGGACAGCAGCACAAGAAGAGAGGAAAGCTGGAGGGACCAATCATGCACTCCTAGCAGATAATAATTCGCCTTCCATGCTCCAACCCCCCAGGTGTACCAAGCACAGAAGACAAAAGCCAGGCTGCCTGAGGCTGGAGCAAGTCAGAGAGCTCCGGAGATTCTCCCTAACTGTCCCTCTCGCCCTCTCTCAAATATTGTTTTTCCTAAAATATTGTTTTCTTTCCTCCAGACAAATCTGCTGGACAGCCTCCCTGAGCCCTGCATGCCTACACAACCAGACCTCCAACCTGTGTCACTGCACCACCCTGGGACTTCCCAGCTCCTCTCTTTAACTTCTTAAACACATTTAGCTGTAAATAAAGCTCCTCTCCAAGCCTTTAGAACCAACTCAACTCATAGATGGCCACAAAACCAATGCAGGCATGAGCACAACCTTAAAGAATGCAGGCTTTGTTAAGGCTTAACTGGTAAGGACCTGAAAAAGCCCTGACTAATCTTACATAAAAGTTATGTAAGATATTTATTTTTCAGGAGATAACTGAGGAGATTAGAGAGAAAATAACTCACTTGCATAAAGGAGGAGGGAAATCAAAGGGAAAAAAGTGGAAAAACAGGGGTTCAAAGAAAAAAAGTAATTCCTAACAACCACGTAAGACCTGGCAGACCACCAAAACTGTCTCCTTCAGATAAACAGTACTTATAACTTTCATCTTTGAGAGGCAGAGGAAAATAAAACTCCAGTCTGAAAGGATGTGTAGCTGTTAAGAAACCCTTACTGAGAAAAGGAAATTTGCAAATTTAGCCAGGAAGCTGCCTGGTGTTCTCAGAACAATAGACTGGCCACCCTTGAATCCAGACCACATCACCACCATTTGGATTACTTGGATCATGAGAAGCAAATAAAAATGAAAAAAAAAGAAAATGCAACCAACTTCTAAGACTGAACTTTGGAGATTTCTTTAAAAAACTGAAAGCGAGTCTCCTGAAAAGAATGGAAATCGTAATAAAGGCAAAGTGTGGACACACTAGACAGGTGGAAAGAGAAATGAGTTTGTAATTCGTTCCTGAGACTTATAACTAATAACTTACTGATCATTTTGACTGGAAATCAGGCTTTTGCACAGTACCGTAAAACACTGGCCTTGTTGGGGACCACCGAGCTGCCTGTACCCTCCTAACAACTTCTGACAATGTTGAGAAGATCCTCCTCACACAAGGAGGGCGCCTCAAAGCCAGAGCCCCACACAGTGGCCACTGGCATTGCGCATGAGCCCAAGCCAGGTGACCTAAAGTAAGCCTGTCTCACCCCTCAGCTTTTCCAGAGGCTCAAAACCCAAACAGATTACGTGTGTGTGTGGAGAGGCAAGACAGGGCTCAACTGGTCAGCTCTGGATATTCAGGAAGCCGGTCAGAGACCTCTTCAATTATAAGAGGATGCTTTGGTCCTGGAGAACCCCTTACCCTGAACATGCTCCCACCCATAACAAGCCCTTCCTCATGGCATGGGGTTATAAGCTCCGAGGATAACATGAATTCAGACAAACAATTATCGTCTGCGGACATAAAAAAACGTCATCATTGTGATTCGAATCTAGTTATGAAGTACTATATGTGAGCATTCTCTTAAAAAAATGGTTCTTCAAGGGTTCTTTAGTAAAGAAAATGGTTCCATAGGGAGATTCACTCAAAAGAGGCCTCGAATGTTCTGTAATAACTCTCTCTAGACTGAAGCAATCTGAACAAACTAACGTGCAATGTGCTCCTCAGTATATGGAGCTTCGAACAAGCCAGGATGCCCCCTGAGTCGGAGCGATGAGGTAGGCGCCGGACAGCCGTCGTGATGTTCAACCTCTGTTCGCAACTTCTGGGTGTACACCCCCGCAACCCCTTCATGTGTCTAGCAGAAAACGGAGATCACTTCCAGCATCACATGTAATGCAATCGATTACACATACGTCAAGGTATGTAGTGTATTTTTTTGGTTCAGACTGCTTCATCCTAACGGGAGTTACAACAGAATATTCGGGGTGTCTTTCGAGTGAATCTCCCTGTATATAGAACCATGAACACTCAAAGAACCTTTTGCATGATAAAAGGGTTCATAAAACGGCTCTTTCACATTGATGGAGAATGTGCTGTAGATAGTTCTACATAGAACTTTTTTTTTAATGTTTCTATATAGCACCCAAAATGCCAATGCTAAGCTTGTAAAAATAGAAGAACACTTTTCGAACAGGTTCTATATAGAACCTTCGACAGCACATTTTTCTTCAATCCAAAGAACTCCTTCATGATGCAAAGAACCCTTTAATCATGCAAAGTGTTCATGGTTCTATACAGAACTACTTTCTTTAATAAAGAACCCCTGAAGAACCATCTTGTCTACGAGTGTATAGCTTGTGTTCCCTCTAATAGTAATACAACTGCATTCTGCAAGGCAAGTATGCAACACTGTTAACATGCAGTGGTTCTGCGTGTTCAATCGGTAACTAAACTGGGGTGCTGAGATCTCATGCACCAAAGTTTCTTTGTTTCATTTGCAATACCCAGCATTCTTTGCCAAACTGAGCATCTACATTATAATCTCTCCAAGCTCTGCTCAAACTACGCACATGTGTAGTTAATTAGGTGGTAATGCTCTGTTTGTAAGGCACTCAGAAAAGGCTTCAGTGCAATCTTTTCCATTGTTTACATTTTGGGGGAATTATTAAATAAAACAAAAGCAATAAAAATGTGCAGCATGTGTAAGAGAACAACAACGTTAATTTGCATAATATCATTCCTTATTTAAATCATCATATTATGTGATATTAGAAGTTATCAGCCCAAGGCTAGGGATGCTCCAGGACCAGGGTTGGAACTGGTTTTCCATCCAGTCTGTGCTCAAAAGGAATAGATTCCATCTTACCCTAAACATTTAAATAGCCGCTTGAATTAAATGTTTGACATTGCAGACAATAATGGCCTAAATATACACTCAAACGAAGCTCTCATTTAAGAGCTAAAAGAGCCGTCATTCACCAGGACTGAGCGTCTACACAATAGCCAAGTTTCCATCCCGCTATCGAATTAAATTCGGTGAAATGTCAAACAATTACGCAAATGTATCCACCCAAGTGAGCATACAAACCTACATGCAAAGTTTGCCAATTTTATTCAGTACTTGCTGTTTTTTGTTCAATATGTCAAATTACACATAGAAATATGTGGATGGTAACATAGTTACTGTTGGATGTTGAACGGGGCAACCAGCCATGCAGCCCTACCAAAATAAAGGACATACTGACTGGAAGCAATTTAATACTGGAGCTTGTGATTTTACCCAAATAAATCTGCAGGGTATCTGCTCCTTTCAAATTTACTGTACAGAGTCAATTTCTCACAGATGTGCCACATCAACCTCAAACAGAAATCCACTAAAGTTAACGTTCTGGGGTTTGTATGTATATATATATATTTTTTTTTATATAAGCTGCACTAGATGCCCACATCTTTGCTCCTGTACCTGACAGGTCATCTGTTAAGGAACGTCAATATCTCCCACAGAGATACACAAATAAATACATCTGAACATTTGTGACACGCAACTCTCTTTGTAAGAATCCTCCTTTGGATTTCCGACGTAGACTTTTCTGTCCATTTCCCGCTAATCCTAAAAGCCCTTAAATTCGTCTTCTATGTCGTCGCCGGACATAAAAAGGTAACACAAGTCCTGGGCAGAAGCGGAGGGAGTCAATGGCTCGGAGGCTTTACCGAAGGTCTGAGGGGTCAGTGGTTCTACACGTTTACCAGAGAGACCTTGCGAAGCCTCTGCTAGAGCTTTCCGTCTACGCCTGGAGTTCCGCACTTTCCTCTGCAAGGTTCTGGATGGACTGTCTGTACTGACTAGTTCGTATCCTCTGCTGGACAGAGACCTTTCAACAGTGACTGACCCATGGGTTGTTGTGTCAGAAGGCTGCTCAGTTCTGACAGGCACATGACCTGCTTTGGACAGAGGCCTCTGCATACCTGTGACATCCAAAACTGTTTTTTGTGTAGCATGAACGTTCGGCTGGCTCGTTCCAGATGGCTCTGCCACCACATTAGTTCCTTGAGTTTCCCGTACGGATCTTGCGTCCAGCTGATTACAACTAACATGACGGCGAGCTGGTTGCGCACTCAGCGAAGTCCTTGGTTTTGAATGAACATGCAATGGTGTCCTGCTCCTCTGCAGAGAGTCAGAATAGCAGCCTTTCTTGGAATTGCACAGTGATGCAGTCAAAGCCTTGTGTAAAGCTGAACTGGACCCCCATTCAAAGGACCCACGCTTGGACTCCGATTTCTCTAGGGCATCAGACTGCTCTGCCGCATCTTCTTCGGGACTCAGAGAAAGCGCTCTGCAGCGTTTGCGGAGTGGTCGAGGTGTTCCACCACTAAAGTCTGTGTTGTGAGAACTCCAGAGCGTGAACGCTGTCACCTTCTCTTCTTCAACTTCCAGAACTCCCTCTTCCCCTTCAGTCTTTATGGCTGGTCCAGGGGCGAGGACTGGAGAGGACACACTGCACTTCACCCTATAGAAAAAAGCCATTGGAAGGGAAGCACACATGAGATATTGGATAAGAGACAAATTCATATGCCTTATTTTTCATAAAAATAGTATGTCTAAAGGGCTAAGTTGCAATATATAACATGCAAAACATGACGCAGTACACAAAACTATCATTTATTTACAACTTAAATGTCATGCAGTACATGCAACTACTCCTTTTGCTGTGTTCTACCTTCTACAGGCTTTGTTTTTTTTTTAAAAACCCAAGATTCCCTGTCTCAGAGCTACAACGCCATCTGCTGGACAAATACAAAGGCTGCTGTAGCTAGTAGGAGTGGCAGTACCTTTTTGTTTGGGTGCTGATTTGTATGAGGTCACAAGTCAGTCCTGATATAACTCTGTCCACCACTAAGTACTCCTCACTCTTAGAGAAAGCCTGATGCTGCTCACCTTGCAGGTGCTGTGGATAAAAGATCACAGGCAGATTAGCCCGAAGGCAGAACCGGTTTATAACTAAAAGACACAGTTACTAAAGTAATTCTGAAAAAAAAAAATCTCACACTTAGTGAATTTTTTACTGAGGTTGTGGTACTCACAGCTTTAAGGCTATCATATTTGACTAAGCAGCATTCACAGTAGCCCCCTTTCCTCCGAGCTTTTCCTTCATGGCCTCTACGTCTGTCTTTCCTACCCTTTACTCCTCGATCTCTCTCAGACCTGAAACAAACAAGAAGAAAAACAGTTATACTGATGGTATAAAACGCACAGCAGCATTTGGGGAGGGAAAGGGGGGCTCCCCCCCCCCAACAAAATGCCAACTCACTTTATTTGCTCAGCATCTACTCCTGTGTTCCAGATCAGAAATTAGCACCATAGTCGTCACGTATAACAGCAACCAAATGTGAAAAAAGAATATGGCTTTGCTGAATGAACTTAATTTTATAATAACTAAACTAAATAAAAATGCTTTCTATAAAACTGAGATCCACTGCACTAAATAAGACATTGTTTATAGTAGCGGGTGGCATTTATATCATGGTATAATGAAAATTTATATCATGATATAATAAAAATTTATATCATGGTAGAATTAAAATGTTCAAATGAAACTTTTTTAAACGCTTAATTCAACTTTCTTTTATAGGTTAACAATGGCTAATTACTCTGGGATATCACCCTTTCTAACAGGAACTATTGATCACTAAAGTAAATGTGAAATATTTTATTTATTTATTTATTATTTACAGAATAGTAAAAACAAAAGTGAACTACATATAAACAAAACTACGTCAATACTGCTTTCTAACACCAGCCCCGTCAGCCCAGCAAAAAAACGGTGCTAAATGTTCTTTAACATCTGAATTACTACAAAACTGAAAAGACGGCTTCTTATTGAGCGGCTCTTTGATCAAATTTTCCAGTCCACCTTAAATGGAGCAGCAGTTACACTGTGGCATCTGGACTGGCTGCACCATTCAAGATGGACCAGGAATTTCGAATACGAAACCATTCTGAGCTTCATCTAATTTCTCATGTCCATTTGTCTCATTCGCTCAGGCCTGCCCTGGAATTTGGAACATATTAGTCATTCACACTTAAGTAGCAGCTGGTGATGGCTTATTTGGCTAATAAGGCCCTGACCGAATCAGGCAGCTTCCCAGGTGGTATGAGAGGAAATGCACAGCCCAGCAATCAGTCTGGTGTCCATGTTAGGCTAATGCTAACTCAGCCCCAAAAGACTGGCTATTCCGTTATGTACGCTGCCTCAAAACTAAAACAGGCTACTTCAGATACAACAGACTACACAGCAGGAGGTGACCGAGGGACTGCTGCAGTTTCATTCGGGTTTAAAACGTGACTCAGGTTAATGTGGTTTGTATGTTGTGTTATCTGTACTTATTTGTGACATACTGGTACAACAATTTTGACAAAACTCAAACCTTAGGGAAAATTTTAAACAGTATAACAGAGCCAGAGTCACCCCCAATGCTACATATATCACTGTTGTTGGAAGAAAACCTCGTATCTCCAAAAGAGAGAAGGAAAAAATCTACTTTAGTTTTAATGTAAGTCAATGGAACCAGACGTTTTTCCATTTTGGGCCGTTTCTTTTGGTCCATTTATCACGAAATTTACAGACAATGTAAAGGGCAACAGGCATTTTCACATTATCTCAAAAACTGAAAAAAAAACGACAAAAATGGAGATACGATGGCGACGATGTGCATGCAAACAGACGGCTGGCTGCCTTAATTTTACCCTCCTAAAAGTCAAATGTCATTCCTGCTGGCGATGAACCACATTATTATTACAGCATTAAGAGTGATTCTCTTAACATACCCGTGCACTTTAGTTTTCTTTCCGGGGGCATCATTATCATTTTCATCCACTAAGAACGGACTGCAAGGGGCAGCAGATTTGAAGTTACACACGGGCATATTGGCCATTGGCAGATAGATGGGGCGGTAGTGCCTGGAATGAAAAAATGAATGAACGAATGAATGAACTAAATTAGAAATTCAACAAGACATGGAAAGATGTAAAATACAAAACAAAAATAAATATAAAATGAATTAAACTTTGATTTCTTGTACCTGCTTGAGTCCTCCACTTTAACAAAGGGGCGACTGATCCGTCCAGCTGAAAAGAAAGAGCTCTAGTAAGAAGCTTGTCAGACTTTTCGGAAAAGGATAGGTGCCAGCTGCATCAATGCAGGATTAATTCAGAAGATCCACTCAATTCCCAAAGTGACACATTGCGAGAATTAACATATATGTAGGCCATGTAAAATTAAATCGCCCCAAATCTACTTTTGCTGTATGATACAACATGTACTGCAACTGTGAGTGGGTTCTGCTGCTGCAGAAGCGTTAAAATGCTAAATGTATGTTATCCTGTACTCACCACTGCATTTCTGAAACGCAGGCCTCTCTGTGGCATCAGGTTGTACCTAAATCCAAAAGTGAAAACTGCTTAGGGCCAAATACGAAGTATGTTAATAAGGTATTTTGTTATTCAAAAGTTAGCCAGGAAAAAAAAATAAAAAATACGAGACTTACAGCTGTCCTCACGGTGTGCCTCACTGTACTCTCCTGTGAGAGTTTGGTCTTTTTCTTATCAATGTACGAAATTACGTCTGTTTGAAATGGCAACAAAAACAAACACCGTCAATAAACAGTTTTAATGACAAACAAAATGTCAAATAAACTTGAACATAGAATAAACAAAATGGCACAAAGCATTTGTCAGCAGCAAAATGCGTGATTATTAGTCACTATTAGTATGTTGCATTGTTCTTCTCTGATCAACTTCCTGTATCCTAGCTTTAAGACCAATCTATACTTTGGCAGGATGAAAATGATAAAACATGAATACCATCAATGTAGAGGATTTTCACGCCCCATTCAAGTGCATTGGCCAGAATTCTGTTAATCTGAACACGCTCCTAAGAAAAAAACATTTTAAAAATGGATTAAAATTGATCAGAAACTGATAAACTGATTTCTAAAGCAGTCGGTGAGAATACCAACATAATCTACAAGTCTGCTTCAGCGAGAACCACCAGAGTAAGAAAAATCACTCACTTGTTCCTTTACGACTTTCTCCACTAATGACTTCCCTCTGCTAACAACCGCCTGTGAAATACCAACCAGAGGCAGCAAAATGAGGACAATTAGGTTCCTTCAAATGTGAAATCAATGTAGAACACATTTCTCACAAATACAGTTCCCAGATAGACATTTAGCCAGAATGACAACACATAAAACGTGTTCACAACAAAACTCAGGACATGACTGCTTTTATCATCTACAGAGCCCCGCTGATGAGATCCTGTATGAAAATATAAATGAGTGGCCACGTAAGGCGTGGGAACAAGATAAGTCATGGCCACACTGTATTGATGTGTGGGAACAAAATCCTAATGCATGGCCATGACCTAGTAAGGAGTGGGAATGAGATCCTAATGCAAAGCCATGACTTATTAAGGCATGGGAACAAGATAAATGAGTGGCCACGCTGTATTAATGTGTTGGACCAAGATCCTAATGCATCGCCATGACTTAGTAAGGCATGGGAATGAGATCTTTATGCATGGCCACAACTTAGTAAGGTGTGGGAACAAGCTAAATCGTGGCCACGCTGTATTAAGGCGTGGGAACAAGATCCTAGTGCATGGCCACAACTTAGTAAGGCATGGAAACAAGATAAGTCATGGCCACGCTGTATTAAGGCATGGGAACAAGATCCTTATGCATGGCCACAACATAGTAAGGCATGGAAACAAGACAAGTCATGGCCACGCTGTATTAAGGCATGGGAACAAGATCTTAATGCATGGCCATGACTTAGTAAGGCATGGGAACAAGATAAGTCATGGCCAAGCTGTATTAATGTGTGGGAACAGGATCCTAATGCGTCACCATGACTTAGTAAGCCGCGGGAATGAGATCCTAATGCATGGCCATGACTTAGTAAGGCATGATCTCATTCCTATGCCTTACTAAGTCATGGTGACGCATTAGGATCTCGTTCCCACGTGTTAATACAGCACTATTTTTATTTATATGTGATGTCACCAGCAGGGCTCCGTAGTTCTCCTCTCCTAAGTTACAGGAGATTTCTCACCGTGTCAGTGGGTCCCTGCGAGCTGCCCCTGTGTCCATGACTGTCCCTCTTGCTGGCCGGATGGGGGGAGCTCAGCCCCGAGTCTGGGCTGGGCACCGGGGAGTCCTGTACCAGCCTCTGCACATGGCGAGCTTCAGGCTTATTGGACACCAAATACCGAATTTCTTTACTGAAGAACTTTTCCACCGTCTGACATGAGGTTTAAAAAAATAAATAAGAAAAGAAAAAGAAATGGAAGAATTAAGATATGAGGAGTTAAACACACCTAAAAAACAAAAGGAAGCAAAGACTGACGTTGCCATTTGAAAGGGACTCTTTAACTTGCAAAGAAGCCTGTTGTCACTTCATTGGCAACAATCACAGAGGACCGAAAGCAGCCAAACACAACATTCTTGCACATGAAGTACTTTTCACTTGGTTTTCTCATCTAAAAAGGACAATCAATCTTGTTTAAGAGAACATTTAAGCTCTGAAAGGACATGATTCCTGAACAAAAACAGGAGAAGTTCATGACTAAATAAATAAACAACCCCGACGCTTTGGTCGATTTACTGCTTCAGGATTTGTCTTGCTTGTGCTGCATTTCACAAACTGTTCCGAGTGCCTACAAATTAACTAACAATAATTCATTGTAACAAGAAAACCTGTGACAGGACAATCAAAACCACAAAATTAGGCATCTTATACTGCACTTACCCCCCCGAGGCTCTTGATGTCACTCTCCAAAGTCTGGCTCCGTTTATTACACGGCAGGTCCAAGTAAAACACACGCCCGGTAAAGGGCTTCTTATGAAGAGGCTCACATGTCGGTCGAGGTTTACTTTTACATGCTGGTCTCTTTTGCCCGTGGTCGTCCAGCTTCGAGTCTGCTGAGTAGAGAGAGAGGAAGATAATAACAGCAGGTTCAGCATCAACCTTTAAAACAGCTCCAGGATGAATTCACGAAGCAGGATGTGTCAGTTAATCACACAACTTAAGCCGAAAGTCAAGCTTTTCCAACATGAGTAGAGTTATGACACATTCCAGCTGGACGAGCCTCACTTTTTGCTTAAATCATCCAGATTGTTGAGAAATTCTGCTTTGTGGAATATGTGGAAAAACCAGATATGGGCACGGCAGCCTAAACGCTTGCTCAAAAAATATAATAATAATAACAATAATCATCATAATCATCATATTAGAACTGCAGTAGAACATCTTAGTATATCTAGGATTTATCAGCATAGGAATCTTTAATAAACACTATTCTTCTCTTTATTTAACTAAAATAAAACGCTTAAACAAACTCAGAATTGCAGTAAACAGCGAAGCAGTACTGATGCTGCCGCCAATGTGACATGATGATGTTAACAAATACAATAGTTAAATTTTAGAGACTAAGATGTAACGGAGTAAAAACTACAAACCTAGAATGTTGTTTTTCTCACCAATATACATATGAGAAAATATCATTTGTCAATACTTATTATGTGTTATATTATTTATGTGTGTGTGTGTGTATGTATACATATATATGCCCATTTTTGTTGTTTTTCAGTTTTTGACATAATTTGAAAATGCCTGCTGTTCTTTACATTGTGCGTAAATTTCACGATGAATGGACAAAAAGAAACGGCCCAAAATTACTTGGACGAAAAGTCTGGTTCCATTGACTTACATTAAAAATAAAATATGTTTTTTCCTTCTCCTGTAAAGTTACCATTTTGGAGATGGTTTTGTTTTGTTTGTTGGTATACACACACACACACACACACACACACACATATATATACACACACACATATATACACACACACACACACACACACACACACACACATATATATATACACACACATATACATATAAATACATATTTATATATACACACACTCATGTATGTGTGTATGTGTATATTTGTGTATTAAAAAAAGTTATTAAGCAACATCTGAACACAGACAGGTCCCAGAACAAAGCCAGTCACACTGGCTGACTTACCTTGAATTTCTGCCTTTACAGACTTTGAAAAACTCTGGTGTTTCATCACAGCTCGCTCAGCTGACTCACTACTTTCTTTGCGAGCTGGGACAGATCAGAGTCACACAGTGGCAGAGTTAAAGACCATTAGCTGTAAATAACTGACAATGACAAACATTACACGGAGCTTAAATCACCGTCCTATCAGTTCCACCTTAAACTGCGCAGCAGTTACATTGTGTCCCGTACAGAGCCCAGAGTGTAAGTACTGTAACATCTGCCCCATTTAAGGTGGAACGGAAAATTCGAATAAAAAGCCAACTTCAGCCTCGTAAACAATACTTACTGTACTTTCCTTACATTCCGGGTCTGGTACGTGTGTGTGTCTCTGTTACACTGCAAAGCATTTAAACTGCCATGTCCGTTAGCGTGACGGAGATCTTGATCTCCGAGCTGCGCTGGACTCCGAATTTAAAACTCGGGCGATACGTTGGGCAGGAAATTCAAACAGGCGGAACAAAGCTAGGTTAACTAAGTTGAGCTAACAAACGACGGCGGTGCTCACATTCCTCACCTCCTCCTCGGACTCACTTCACCCTCGCCTGCTCGTTTACTCCGTGATAATATTTTCGCACCTATGTGGAAGCTGAACATTGGCTTGGTTACACTTTAAAAACGACTCAAAATAATCATATTTCTATTTTCCCGCTCGCTAGGCGCACGTCCACCGTGACGTCAAGCCCAACGTTCAGGCCAGAGAACGTGTAGAGGGAGAGATCTACCACTCAGTGCTGCTTTCCGGGTTTGTCAGCCGCTAGAGGGCGCTCCCGAACGAATGCGATAATAGGTTTGACGCTACACCAGAGCTGGTTTATGAGGAGCCTGGCCACTTCCTATTCCCCCCGTTATAGCAATAACAGGACTGCGAAACAGCAGAGGGCGCCCGCGAGCGAGGCCTCAATGAATGGGAGTGAATGGAGCTCAACGGCTAAAAACGAAAAGTTAAAATAGTTTCTTTAACTTTCCTTTAATTTTAGAAAGTAGAAGGACGTATTTCACTAAAAAAACAAAGAAATCTCACCTGTATGTTTCCCTTTTTCTACAGCAAACGGGTTTTGGGCAGCAGAAGGCGGGCTTTACTGCTAGAGAGTGATGATTGATTGGCGAGCGGAGCAGCTCATTGGCTGTTCGCGCTCACTGACGTCATGAACGTACACGAGGCGCCGTTTTAAACTCCTATAACTCGAGTTTAAAAGCTCTTAAAAATATAACAGCGGTGTTAAAATGTTTTATGCTGTTCTGTGTTCAGGAAATGAATGTATTCTTTTACATTAAAAATGTTTAAGCATTTATAAACTATGACTTTGCTCAAATGCTCCATATCAACCCATTCATTTTGGACTCACTCGGGAGCGCCCTCTAGCGTTTGAGAAAACCGGAAGACATTGCAGAGTGGTAATTCTCCTCTCTACAAGTTCTCTGGCTGTACCACTACAAATGTTACAGCTTCTTAAGGGTTCAGCAAATAGTGATATGGATGTCATAGCGAATGGTCTTTTTACTGGGGACACTGATATCCTTAAATATAAATGTACAAACAAGTACATTAGGGAAGTAATATCTAATGAATAATTTATAATTAACCATATTGATCTTTTGTATTTGGGAACATAAATTGGAATAAAGCACGGACAATTTGTGATAAATACCATACGAATAATAAAATAAAGGAAGTGACATTTAAAATTTTACTCACCATCTACCCTAAAAGTGTTTTAGAGTCATTCAGAATTATTCATGAATATTCCTGCATCTTTTGTGGTTTGGAAAAGAAAACAATTATTCATCTGTTTTACCAACGTACTTATACTGAAGTGTTCTGGATTGATGTGGAAAACTTTGTAAGAGGAAAGACTGGACACTGTATTACACTGGATGTTTCAGACGTTATTAGTTATTTTTCTATGGACAGATTAGATGATGAGTGAGTATTTTGTACAATACTTAATTATTATAGGTAAAAGCCAAACTTATAATGGCCATGACTTAGTAAGGCATGGGAACAAAATAAGTCGTGGCCACGGTATATTAATGTGTGGGAACCAGATCCTAATGCATCTCCATGACTTAGTAAGGCAATGGAATGAGATCCTAATGCATGGCCATGACTTAGTAGGGTGTGGGAATGAGATCCTAATGCATGGCCACGACTTAGCAAGGCATGAGCACAAGATAAGTCGTGGCCACACTGTATTAATGTGTGGGAACAAGATCCTAATGCATCTCTATGACTTAGTTAGGCATGGGAATGAGATCCTAATGCATGGCCACGACTTAGTAAGGCATGGGAACAAGCTAAATCGTGGCCACGCTGTATTAATGTGTGGGAACAAGATTCTAATGAGTCTCCATGACTTAGTAAGGTGTGAAAATGAGATCCTAATGCACGGCCACGACTTAGTAAGGCATGATCTCATTCCAACGCCTTACTTAAGGCATGATCTCATTCCCACGCCTTACTTAAATTATAAACTTATAAAATAAAACAAAAAGGACTTTGGAATTATACGTTGATTGTAATTTATTTAAAGTATTCTTTGCTTTTTTAGCGAAATACATCTTTCTACTTTCCAAAATTAAAGGAAAGTTCTGGGCAAACGGTTAGAAACAATTTTAATTTGTCTTTTTAGCCGTATCGCTCCATTCACCCCCATTCATTGAGGACTCGCTCTCGGGCGCCCTCTGGCGTTCGCAGTCATGTCTCTCATATAACGGGAGAAACACGAAGTGGCCGATCTCCCCTTAAACCAGATTCATTCTTCGTTTTCAGGCGTCCAGTTTCGACATCCACCGTTGTGCGGTTTCAAATGAATCGTTCCGAGTGTGCCTTTAAATAAATTAATTATTCATTAATATATCTTAAGACGATTAGATGCTTTCATAACAGGAATACACAGATCAAAATGAATCCTAGGATATTTAATATCACGATTACTTACACGTTGCGTCATTTAAATCCCCCCAAATAAGGCGAATCTGATAACCGAGGAGCACAGCTAACGTTACAGAGCACAACTGTCATGTGCGGTGTACATTAAAACAGTGCGAAGTTAAAGGACGATGGAAAAAAGATGAAAAACGTGGTTTCGTAAAGGCAAAATGACGGACTGGCCTTCATCTGTCGAACACAGTCTGTCCGCACCGCTGTCTGACGCTGACAGCGTCTGGACCGGTCATTAAGACCGAAAGAAGAAGCCCGCGGCTCGCTAAGTTAGCCGAAGATAAATGTGATGAAACTGATCGGAATAAGATTATTTACTCAGCTTTTCACAGAGAGAGAGGGAGGGAGGGAGGGAGAGACCGAATTAAGGTAAGCTGATGTCATTTAGACTTAATATTACAACCACATGAATTTTAGACGTCAGACTTTGTGTTAGAGACTTTGACTTTTCATTGACTTTTCATTGACTTCTGTCTAGTCAGAGGTAGTTAGGGTCTCCTGAAGTCATCCTGATTTAAAAGGGTCACTATTTCACTAAAATCTAATGCCAACCACACTAAAAGACTTTTAAAAGACTTATGAAAGAGTAAAGTCTGACACCCCCTCACATCTGAAGACACTGTCCCGGTTTTTAGTCACAGACTATGATTTTGCAAAGACTGGGAATCTTGCAGGGTCACTGTTTACATCATAAACACCTTTCCCTCCACTCTGTAGTGGTACAGCTGGCCGTGTGAAGATCTGGAGCCCAGTTCACTGTAGAGCTGTATCCTCTGGCAGATCATCACCCAGAATTGTATTAATTAACCTCTAAGATGTGCAGCTACTTTTTAATTTGACAAAGATTCACACATCAGCACACAGTGAGATTCAGCACTGTTGACTGGGTGTCGTGAACTAAACCTTAAAAAACACATAATAAGAAGCCAGAAAAAAAACAGGAAAAAAACATTGATTGTTCTTCAGTAAAGCCGTTTTTAAAGTCCTCTGCATTTCCTTACATCACTGTTACACTGAGTGAGCCTGAAATATTAAAGCAGCCAGCTTACATTTCAAATTAATATGATTATTGTATTAAAGTGGAGCAGATTTGCCGTTTTTATAGAGATTTCAGGCTCTCACACTTCATTTATTCTCTCTTCTCTCTCTCTCTCTCTCTCTCAATCTCTCTTCTCTCCACTATTTGCATGAGCCAAGACTTAAAACTTACGATAATATTAAACATGATTGTTTTTGTCGCAGCGTCAAGACGAGAAAAACACTGCATTAAGACGGCCGTCCTGACCGCCTCACACTAAACGATCGAGATGACGCGACGCGACTCTAACAAGACTCTCACGATTTTATTCTGACATTGGAAATTTGTCCGCGACAGTGAAATCGCTTGGTGTGAGGCCGGCATAAAGTAGAACCAGAAGTGGCTACCAAAACCACTATGAGTAGGAGTAAAAACTATAAAGATAGATAGATAGATAGATAGATAGATAGATAGAACTTGATTGATCCTGAAGGGAAATTGCAGTGTTTCAGTAGCAAAGCACATAATTGCACATAAACTTACATAAACTATGCAGAAAATAGAAATAAACCTAGACAGAAGTTAAAGTGCAAGAGAAGTAAAATAAAAGCTTATCTATTTCCATATTTACATGACATATGAGACAGATTTGTATTTGTAGATCGTATTTACATGACAGCAGGCACTGAGTGGTGTGAGGTAAACTAAAAGCACAGATTATAGACATAGCTGACTCGGAGTTGCATCGACGTTACAGTGTAAAGTGCACAGTAGTAGTAATGCTATATTACAGTGTGTATTAACAGGAGAGGTGATTAAAACAGGAGAAAGATTAAAAACTCAAGTACTTATAGAGCTTCTTTATAGAACTGCAGTGGAATGTCTAAGACACACTTATTAAGACATATTAAGGCATCTTAAGGAAATGAAAACATGTCTAGGCATGTCTGTAGACACAGTGATCCCTCAAGATGTCTCAAGATGCAGAATGCATATTACATTTTTTTTTAATACAGGGTTGCTGTAAAGTTAAAATCGTCTGTTCTGCTAGATCTGCCCTGGCCAACTGTAAGTGCTATTACTGTTAAAGGGAACTGTCTAGGAGCAACAACAGCTCAGCCACAAAGCAATAGACCAAACAAACTTATCCTAGGGTTTCAGTCATGTGATTTTTCTGTTGTGGCCATATTTGGGACCGAATTTCTGGCTTTGCTGCTCCGCATGAACATAATTAGAGGTGAAAGATGGCTAAAATTGCTCTCCTTACTCTGGAAGAGAAAAACGTTCCTCGACAAAGTCGATAAAATAGTCTGTGATTCTTATTCAGTTTCCCCCTGAACTCCTGGTCCCACTTAAACTGGCGGAAAAGCTACCAAATTTGTGTTTTCCTTTCATTTATATTTATCTCATACTCAGCCCCTCTCCCTGTTCTGGAGTCTCTCAAAGCATTTAAAAGCACAGAAGCCCACCAGCTCTTCACGTCAGGGTGGGTAAAGGATTCCATGGTGTTGCATAAAGAGGATAAAACCTCTGTCATCATAGGAGGAACGACATCAGCTAATTAACACAGATGTGATCAATGCTGGCCTTTAGATAACTTTAGCTGATGTTAACAGCCGAGAGATGAACAGTCGTCCCCCTAACGGAGCTGCAGACAGCCGGGATAACTTTACTCTCTGTTTCTGATTTAAATGAGGTTTGAATGGAGAAACATAAACGTTAAATATCAGACTGAATGTCGTGGGTCAGAAAACGACGTCGTGTTTCGTCAGACGTGATTCTGTAAGTTTGCTAGTGCAGTTAGTGCAGAGTTCAGCTCCAGTCCTGAAATGCCTGCACTGCATAACTGTGGTTTCCCTGGTTAAAATACCTGTTACCTGCATCACTCACTGTAGAGTTCCAAACAGGTTCTGCAGCATCAGCAAAGAGGTAAAAAAAAACAGCATATTCAGTGTTTTTAAGTACCTTTTTTTGCAGAAATGACCCCAATAAAAAACAGTCAATCACTGTTCATGTACTTATGGTGTTATTACAGTTACCACAATTATGGTGTTATTAACTGTAATTTTGATGGACTCTTATTAGAATAATAAAGTGAAAATACACACATATTTAAATTATTTAAATCTTAAGAAAAGTGGAAAACTACTTTTATTGTACTTTTTTATTACTTTGTTAATTAACCAGTTATAATTATGCTTAACTGCTTAATTAAAAAAAAACATTTCAGTAAAGGTGTGTATTTTTTGTGTAAGTTCACTGGTGCCACTGTAAAAACTTTGACCTAACAGTAAATAAAAAATGTACAAACAAAACCAAAAGCAGTTTGACTTAAATAGCTACTCCAATTATATTCTTCTTGATTTTTTCTCTTCCTGACAGGTTCGTTAAGATGGCGTCGCAAACTTCTCAGGTGTCCAAGGACAGCATAACGCCAGTTCAGCAGATGACAGCCTCTTGTTCCGGGGCGATACTCACATCTTTATTTGGTAAGTCTCAGAAGGAGGGTCCGCTCACTGACACCGTCTAATGTCATAGTAAGCAGGGTGGTTATATTGACTGAGGGGCCTTTAAAGAGCCTGGAATGAAATGTTTGCTTTAGAGCACAGTTTTAAATTTGGGAAGAAGGACCTACAGAGAACGAGGTTTGGACAGGACATGGAAATGTGTGAAATGCCCCTCAGGCTTTTACAGAACCAGTTTAAGTCAAGCTGGGCCGCTTCCTTTTCCTCCTTTCATTCAGTCCACAGCTACTTGGGTAAGAGGAGCTAAACACTCAGGGATTTGTGGACAATGTATTACATTTACTCTGTAATGAGAAAATGGACTAACAAACTGCAGCGAGACCCCTCTCGAGTCTGACCAACCCGGAAAACATAACTGAGTGGCAGTTCTTCTCATTAGAAATTCCCAAACGTTACCGTTGGCACTATTGCCAGGAGAACCCTACTGTTGGTAGCGTTCTCCTGGCACCCGCCAAACCTAGATTCATCCATCAGACCGTGAGGGTGTTTACACACATAGTTCTTTTTAAATGAACCGAACTGAGTTCTGTTAAAGTCGACCTGCAAGGCAACCAGCTGCAGATGACCTCAGTTCTTTTTTGTGTTCACAATGTAAGTGAACTATAAAGAGGACTCGGTTCTCTGAGACCACTTCTTGCTCAGACCACAACTCCATTAGAACTCAAACCCCTTTCACACCACTCATGGTGAGCACAGCGCTCGCAAAGTGGGCAGCGTTCTCTGATAAATCTAACCTTTCAGGTAACGAGAGGGACCACCAGACACGCCTGCTGCTCCCCTACTGGCCTGTGCTGAAACGACTGGCCAGAGTGCATCGCACAAAATTGGAAAAAATGAGCTCCACATGGCGAAAACCCACATCTGCACTGAAATCGTGTGTTTGAAAGAGCAGCGGTGGATTTTCATTCATTCAGAGTTGAGTGTGAAAGCAGCTTGAAGCTCAGTATTGCATGTGCGCCCAGCATGAGCCTTTAACAGGGTAAAATCACGCAGCCTCTCGCAGCTTATCGCTTTAATATGTCAGGGCTGCTCTTGTCGCAGATCTTCGGCAGGCTTTATCCTGAGTTGAACCCTATAAATGATCCTTGGTCTGTTTTTAGTGGTGAAGAGCTGAAGACTGTGGCTGTGTGTACGGTGAGCCTTGAGGTCTTCACCATAAAGCAAAAGCAGACTGGGTCCGTTTTGTTTTCACGGCACACAAATCAATCAAACCACAAAACAAACTACAAACGAACCGAACTGAGACGTTTAGAGGGGTCTGAGCGTGTTTGCAGAGAAAACCATAACTCAGCGGTCAGACGCTGAAACGGCCCAAGTGTGAAAATGCCCTGAGATAGTGAAGAGTGATTTACTCCAGAGAACACATTCGCACTGCTCCAGAGTCCAGTGTGCTTTACGCTACTCCAGCCGACGCCTGGCATTGCGCATAGTGAACTTAAGCTTGTGTGCAGCTGCTCGGCCGTGGAAGCCCATTTCATGAAGCTCCTGACGCACAGTTTTTGTGCTGATGCTGCTTCCAGAGGCAGTGTGGAACTGTAGTGAGTGATTTTGCATGGTTTACAGCTTTAAGGCTGAGCTGTTGTGGCTCCTAGACACTTCCAATTCACAATAATAGCACTTACGGTTGTCTGGGGCAGATCTAGCAGGGCCGAAATTTAATGAACTGTCTTGCGGCAAAGGCTTCATCCTATGACAGTGCTGTGTTTAAGGTCACTGAGGTCTTCAGGGCGACCAGTTTTACTGCCAGTGTTTACATATAGAGATTTATAAATAGATATACAGATTTATTTATTGCTTATTTTGGAAAAAAAAGACCTTTATTATGGGAAAAATCCAATCATTATTGACCATTCAGAAATGGGACATCATCATCAGGGCGCGTTGGAGAAGTGTACTGTGCTTGCCTGTGACTCCACAACTACTTGGGTAAGAGGAGCTAAACACTCAGGGATTTGTGGACAATGTATTACATTTACTCTGTATTGGGAAAATGGACTGACAAACTGCAGCGAGACCCCTCTCGAGTCTGACCAACCCGGAAAATGTAATTGAATGGCAGTTCCTCTCATTAGAAACTCCCAAACTTTACCGTTGGCACTATTGCCAGGAGAACAATCCAGTCATTATTGATCATTCAGAAATGGGACACCATCATCAGGGCGCGTTGGAGAAGTGTACTGTGCTTTGCCATATGTGCTTTCATAGTGTGACCCACCATAGTAACATAATAATCAGTGATGGATTACATATGACCACAAGACTGCAGGAGTCAATCATGGGGAGAAGGCCACTGTTTAATCACGTTGTTTAAACATGTTTATCTCTTTTTTTCCTCTTCACAGTAACTCCTCTAGATGTAATCAAGATCAGACTCCAGGCACAGAGAAGTCCTTTCCCTAAAGGTAAAAAATATGTGTATTTTGAGCTCCCATGGCTTTTTTTCTCCCAAATCGTTCATGTAATGTGTACACAATGCATTTTTGTGTCCCTGTCACACAGGGAAATGTTTTGTTTATTGCAATGGCCTGATGGATCACATATGCGTGTGTGTGAACGAGAACGGGAAGGCGTGGTATAAACCTCGAGGTCATTTCAGCAGCACACTGGTGAGTGGAGAGAGATCTTCTTTCCCCAAAGATAAATGTAGCTTTTGCTATACAATGAAGTGGAAATTTGTTTATATATATATATGTATATTTGGTTATATATTCCCTGAGCTAGGTGTTTTGCAAATTTTCATGTTACATAATAGACTCATTAGCAAAACAGCTGCAACTGCTTTGAATTATAATTTCGAAAAGAACGTTCTGTCTCTTCCATAGCACTGTTTAACACTTTGTTCCATTGTTCTGCTTCTGTGATACAGGATGCCTTCGTTAAGATTGTTCGCATGGAAGGGATCAAGTCGCTGTGGAGTGGCCTCCCCCCAACACTGTCAGTCATCTACGCCCTTCACGTACACTTAGACACAAGGCATAGTTAGGAGATGAATGCTAACACGGCTGAAGACCTCAGCATACATCTTGCGAAACGAAATTCTTGAGGGTCACATGAAGCCGAAAGCGCCTTCACGAGCTTATGAGCTCACATAGTTTCTGCGGTTTTGTGTTGCCTTTCGCTGATACTCCACTAATGCAGGTGACGCTATGACATTTTATGATAAGTTTCGTGACTGCTGGAAAACGATTCTATCACAGTTCTAACTATGGCGACGTGTAAGTCCAGAATACTGCCACCATTTAAGGTGGAACGGGAACAAGAAGTTGGCGAACACAAAGCCAACAAAGTCAACCTATATGTTTTGGTGCTTACTACAAGTTAGTACTACTCAATAATAGACTTAACGTCTTAGATTTAGAGGGTTTTCATTGTTTATTTAACACATACGCATTTCACAGTGAAATACTGGTGTGTTTGCCAAAGCGCTCAGCGTACTTCTTGTGGAACGAAGCTCCTCAAAGTCGTCCATCTTTGTTTCATGCCACACCACTTTTTAACCAACCAATCACAGGCTTTGTCGCACAGCATCTTCGTCTGTGGAGTTCGCCCAGCTGCCATGTGCGCAACACGGCGAACGAAGCCTCAATTACGTCATATTGTTCGCCGAAGCCAGGCGAACGTCGTCTCCGTCAGAAGTCTGCTGAGGCCTTCAGACTGAATGTGCCTGCTAGCTTTAGGCTTTCATTAGCATTGTTCACATATTGAGCCACACTAGAAATTTTCTTTAAATTGCAAATGCAAATATAGCCGTTTCATTTATTATCCAGAATGACCAGCAAACCTACACGCGTTATAAAAATCGAATGTTGATAATGGTGAAATATACTTTTGGAGGTATTTTCTGTGTAAAAGTTTAAAGTTAAATTATATTTATATAGATAGATAACTTCGCATCATTAACCATCATTAGTATTTATGCGTAAACTAGCAACTAACAAGCAACGCCCTAACAACCAGCTGCAATACCATAGCAGCTGCATAGCAACTACCTAGAATGCCATAGCAATCACCTAGCAACACCCTGGCTAGAATTACTGTATAAACCCAATTAAGTTTAAATAAACAGTCAACAGCTGTCTACAACTGCCAAGCTGATGAGATTCTCCCCCTTCTAGTTCCATTTTACTATTTGTTCAAAATAAAAGAAAAAAAGAGAATAATAACTGACACACACCGATCAGGCATAACATTATGACCACCTCACCTCACAGAGCAGGTACTATTTGGGTGGTGGGTCATTCTCAGCACTGCATTAACACTGACGTGGTGGTGGTGTGTTAGTGTGTGTTGCGCTGGTCTGAGTGTGCTGTGTCTGATCCACTCGTACCAGCGCAACACACACTAACACACCACCACCACCACATCAGTGTTAATGCAGTGCTGAGAATGATCCACCACCCAAATAGAACCTGCTCTGTGAGGGTCCATGGGGGTCCTGACCACTGAAGAACAGGGTAAAAGGGGGCTAACAAAGTATGCAGAGAAACAGATGGACTACAGTCTGTAACTGTAGAACTACAAAGTGCACCTATATAGTAAGTGGAGCTGATAAAATGGACAATGAGCGTAGAAACAAGGAGGTGGTCATAATGTTATGCCTGATCGGTAGTAATAGTGTAATAATGCCATTTCAGGTAAAGCCTAAAAAAAATAATATTTAAATTGGATTTTCTTTGGAACGATTTAGACTTATTAAAAAAATGTGATTGGAGAAATTACTTACACTGTACTGGAATACAGGCATTAAATATGATGCATTCTTTCAGATTTTTGCATTTGAAAATAGCCAGAGATTTCTGTTTGGACAAAAAGATGAGCACATACTTTATTGAGTTTTATTAACTCCTTAAATGGCCAGTTTTACACACTTTTATAACTTAAGAACAGCTCAACCATTTTGCACTGAAGTCCCTGTAGTTACTGAAAAATAAGCCTGCGGTTTTAAGGAGTTAAATTCAGTTATAACTGACTCTATCATATCATCGTACCTTGTGATTGATGCATCACAATTCATCAGTGCAATTTTTTTTGCACAAATACTAATGGAGCATCTTCTCTTGGCAGAGTGATGGCAGTGCCAGCCACAGTGATATACTTTACCTGCTATGATCAGATCTGTGACGCTCTCAGGCTCAGGATGGGTGAGCAGGCTGACAAGGCGCCTTTATTAGCTGGAGCGATCGCTAGAGGTAAGCTCATACTCAAATGACTGTATTTAAGTGCGCTGATTTTTTGGCATTTTTGGCTTTAGGTTAGCAAACCAGTGTGTAAGAAGATGACAGCATTCCACAGCACTTTATTTGATGAACTTCATTTGCTTGAAGCTTGTTAGACAAACTCTAAAAGGAAAATTATCGACCTGAAATCAACACAGCATCTGTTTTTGTGTACAAACTCAATTCCAAAAAAAAAAAAAGTGGTAAAACGCAAATAAAAACAAAAAGCAGTGATTTGTAAATTCACTTTGAATTGTGTCTGATCCATATTTCTGTGGATCAGACGCAGCAGTGCTGCTGGAGTTTTAAACACCTCAAGGAGGTGGTCATAATGTTATGCCTGATCGGGTATGTTCTTTCTGAAATGGAGGCCTGTAACACGTTCCATAGAAGTTGGGAAAGGGACAGTTTAAGACTAGCAATGCTATGAAATGTTCTAAAAAACATCTTAAACAGGTGATGTATAAAAGGAGCATCCAAAAAAGGCCTAGTCCTTTATAAGCAGGGATGGGTCGAGGCTCGCCACTTTGTCGAAAATGCCTCAGCACTGTAAGAATAACGTTCCTCAGTGAGCATTTGTAAGGACTTTAGCCACTTCACTCTCTGTGGCGCAGAATATCATCAAAAATGTAGAAAATCTGGAGAAATCTCGCAGGACAAAGCTGAAAACCAATACTGAACAACCATGACATTGGATTCCTCCGACAGCACTGCATTAAAAAGCCGACACATTTCTATAATGGGTACAGTCACATGGGTGATAACTTTGGAAAACGTTTGTCGGCAAACACAGTTATTCACTGCATCTATAAATGCAAGTTATGACTCTGATATGTGAAGTGAAAACCATACATCAACATCCAGAAACGCCCTGATTCTCTGAACTGAAGCTCCTCAGAGATAAACTGATGCAAAGTGGAAACGTTTTTGGAAGTAATGGACATCGTGTTCTCCGGGCCATAGAGGAAAATGACCATTACGATTGATACCAATGCAAACTTCAAAAGCCAGCCTCTGTCACGGTATGGGGGATGTGTTAGTGGGTAACTTGCACATCTCTGAAGGCACCATTAACGTTGAGGGGTGGATACGAATTTTGGAGCAACATATGCTGCCTTCTAGATGACGTCTTTTTCAGGGATGTCCCTGCTTACATCGGTAAGGCAATGCCAAGCCACTTTCTGCATGTGTTATAACAGTTGTGGCCTCATAGTAAGAGAGTGCAGGTACTAGACCACTACTGAATGTTGTTAATAGGAACGGTGATGTCACACAGTGGTAAACATGACCCTGTCCCAACACTTCGGAACATGTTTCAGGCATCAAATTTAGAATGAGTGCATATATACAAAAACCAGTAAGGTTAATTGATTGAAACTTTAAATATCTTGTGTTTGTACTGCTGTACACTGTACATTCAGTGGCCTTTTTATTTTGTAACAACATATGCCGCAAAACCAAACGAGTGATATGGAAAAAAATGAGTATTTCCTCAGAGTGCCTTACTTTCAGTATGTCCCAACTACAGATGATACCCATGAAGTTAGGACAAATACTAAGTGCAAAATAGCAAATAATAAACATAACATTATGATGAGTGGCAATATTACACATCCTTAATAAATCATTTAGAAACTTAATTCAGTTTAGCTTGCAATTTATCAGTCAATTCACAACAAATTCCTTCTGACCGGCTTAAACTGGTTCATCATACTGTAAATGTCAACTCTTTACCAAGGGCAGAAGCAAGATTTGCCGCTTAGCCAACAAACCTTAAGCTTTAATCTAACCTTTGATTTCTCAAATCACACGATGGTGGATCACTTTTTTCCTGGGATACATCACCATGGCAACTTGCGCTGCGTGCCTAACCTGTCCCAGGCCAGGTTAATCATAAACTGCTCCTCGACCAGTCAGCGACTGAAAGAGGTGGACGCCTCCGGTCACTTTTGTTTTCTTCATGGACATTCGTGGCGACAATCATGTAAAAAAAAACTTTTTTTTTGCAGTGAAGTGAAAAAGTGTTTGCCCTCCCTCCTCCTGAGTTCCTCTATTTTTTGTCATATTAAATGGTTTCAGATCCTCATACAAAATGTAATATAAGACAAGAACATGAGGAAACACAAAACATTGTTAATAGAAAAAAAGTTTTGTAATCGCTGTATTACCTATGTGAAAAAGTAATTGCCCCCATACCCATACAACTGCAACCAAGTCCGTCCTACAACTAGAGATCACAACGTCTTTCACATCACTGCAGCAGAATTTTGTCTCACTCTTTCTACTGCAGAATTGCTTCATTTCAGCCACGAACCATTTAATGTTCTGCCACAGCATCTGAATAGAGGTCGAAGTCAGGACTTTGACTGGGCCACTCCAAAACCTTGATTTTGTTCATTTTCAGCCATTCCAAGGTGGACCTGCTCTTGTGCTCAGGATTGCCGTCCTGCTGCATAACCCAGTTGCGCTTGAGCTTCATAGTTCCATCAGTTATGGTATTTAAGTCACCCAGGCACCGAAGCAACAAAGCATCCCCACATCATCACACTACCACCACCATGTTTGACTGTTGGTCCACAGAACATTATTCCAAAAGGCTTTGATGGTGGAATTATAAGCTCTGAACTTATTTGAGGCGATTGAGGCCTACAGTCCCTTAGATGTTCGTCTGGGTTCTTTCATGACTTCCTGGATGAGTCGTCACTGTTTCTTGCAGGAATTTTGGTAGGCCAGCCACTTCTGGGAATTTCACCACTATTCCAAGTTCTCTCCATTTGTGGATCACTGGAGTCCCAGAATCTTAGAAATGGCTATGTAATCATTTCCACATTGATATATATTTCAGCAACATTCTTCCTCATCTCTTCCTAGAAGCTGCATAGCGTGCTGCTTGTCCCTTTATCATTTTTAGAAGGCGATGTTTAGATTCAGCGTAGCTGGCAATGCTCAAGACAGAGTGTGTCCCAGTTATCAACGGAATGTGACTAACTGGTTGATTGTAACTAAGGCTAAGGGATTACTTTTTCACCCACAGCCAGTTGGTGTCAGACTTTTTTTTTCTTAAGACAAAGTAAATGATCCTTTTAAAACTATATTTTGTGTTTATTCAGGTCTTTGATATATATATTAAATTTAGTTTGAAGACGTGAAACAATTAAGTGTGACAAATATGCAAAAATCAGGAGAAGAGGAGTGGGAATATACTGTTTCCACAGCACTGCAGCTGCAACGAATATAAAGCAGTTATTACGCTAATAAGCACTAACATTGTGGTGGTGGAGACACATTTTACGTAGTATCATAAGCTCGACTTGACCTCATGTCCAACACTATTCATCATAAATCACAGCAAATAGTATTTAGGATTCAGATTAGTATCTAAAGCCAAAACGCAGTCCTCCGTGAAGCTGGCACCCCCATGTGGTCAGAAATGGAATAAAAATACTACTATTCGTTTGTGCTGGTTTGCGCCGTAGAAATCATTGTTTGTGCTGGCAGCGTTTTCGAGGAATTAAGCATTATATTTTATTACCTGTGACGTCACTCAGCCCCCCCATCAACGTATAAATGGCACAAAAATGGTCTCATTCGTTTGTGCTGTTTGTGCTGTTCAAAGAAATGTTTGTTCTGTTTAATTATTGAGTTATAAAGCCATAAAGTTTCTATGAGTGACATCACTCAGCCCCCCAATGACGTCCAAATCGCGCCAAAACAGTCTCATTCGTTTGCGCTGCGTTTGTGCTGTTAAGAGAAATGCTTGTGCTCTTTTAATTCTCAAGTTGTTTGTGTGTCAGGAACTCTGTATAGGCTGTGCTTCATGAGACAAACCAAAGTATCCCAGCAACTGATCTCCTTTGTCAGACTTTGAAATGCTATTACAAATTGTTATGACCGACTCAGCTGTCCTTTCTGCTCCTTAAAGGTTTGGCTTCAGACTGAGACATTGTCCCACTGTAAGAAGAGCTTTGATGATCTGCTGCTTTTTATTTGACCTGTCTTCATGTGTGTGTGTGTGTGTGTGTGTGTGTGCTGCAGTGGGCTCTGCTACGCTGATCAGTCCTTTAGAGCTGATCCGCACTAAGCTGCAGTCCGAGAGGCAATCTTACAGAGAGCTGAGCGCTGTGATCCGTTCGGCCGTGCACACTGAAGGCTGGCTGGCTCTCTGGAGGGGTCTGGGACCAACACTGCTCAGGGACGTACCGTTCTCAGGTAAAGAACCGCATCTGAAAAAGATTTAAAACCTGTCAGTAACACTTTAGAATTACAGACCCTCATAAACAGCAACTTAACCATTACTTAATAGTCTGTTAGTGATTGTTAAGTTTATAATAGTTACGTATACATTAATAAATGGCACGAATTCATTTGTTAACCATGTACTTTGTGGCATATAAATAATAAATAGATATTTTGAAAGCTTGGAACCTAAACATTAGTAATAGTTCATAAATAAGTTTGCTATTTTATACTTGTAAATTCTATAACTTGATATGTTTAGTTTTTAAAAAATTTAATAATAATTGTGAATGGGTTGTGTTGGTCCTGTTTTAAGTAATTATTTACTGTCTTGCTTCTTTATGATGCATAAGGTTAATATATACTCTTAAATATTAATAATCACTAATTGGACCCGTTAAAAAGCTGCAACTATATATGTATTTATAAAGATATATCATAGTACTTATTACCCAAATATAATACATTTATGAAAACAACACTTAAGTTATTTGTGTTACTAAGAGTTACTAATTCAAATGGTGGCAAAAGTAACAATTCTATAATTAACCATCATTAACAACTATTAAATAGCTATTAGATGGTTATTCAGTTGCTGTTTATAGGGGCCTGTTATCATGAAGTGTTTTACTTTTGGTGGTTGCTGTAATTTAAAGGAGTTATATCATGTAAAAAAACAAAAAAAAATCTTTGCTTTGGGGAAATAAAGAAATATGTTGTACTATATAAAATCTAAATGTGTGGTTGTGACATCACAACCATGACAAATTCAGAACAGACTGTTTGACAGTTAAGCTTTCATCTGTCAATGACAAATCACGCCACATGACGAGTTATCATATGCTATCATGTATTATCATTGACAAATTTTGTATAGTAATACAAAAGAGTCACGTTACCAATTAACGTTACGCCATTGCTCAGTGTATCATGACATCATAGCATCGGTCATGATTAGTAATGGTAACATGACACTATATTACTGGACATAATCTGTCATGACATGCTTATGGCATGTTTATGTCAATGATCAAATAAAGTGTTACCCACATTTACATACATCCGTCCATTCATGTTGAAGTGATACGGAGTGTTGTTACTGCAGACCATTTGTAGCAGAGCTACTGGAGTAGAAATTGGAAGGAAAATGATTAAACGTTGTGCTGTTCCTGACTGTGAGGAAGCAAAAGAAACATTCCAGTCTTCCAAAAGATCCACACATCTAACCCTCCGTTCACACCAGCAGCGACGCGGCGGCCAAGGCAGCCAGAGGTCATTCATTTTCAAAGAAAGCTGGCGATTTCTCGTGACTGGAGGTGGCACAAACGTTGGCAATGCAAACTAGGCGGAGTCAGTGACGAAACAAAGTTGAGCAGAGTTTAACTTTATGCAAATAAGGAGTGAAGTGATGTGGCAATTACCAATAGGAATTAAGCACTGAGCAGCGCAGCACAAGCTTTATCTCCACCACTGTTACACGGTACGCTCCCTTTTTGGTTCCTAGATAATTGTTCCTACTAGAGGTGGAATAATGGCGGCGGTGCTTTCCACACATTCTGACTGCACAGATACAGGGATTAAATTAAAATAAGCACACAAGCAAATCCTGCTCACCAGGGTTTTTATTTCTAGCGGGAATGCGTCTGATTTGTGCTTGGCGTCAGTGAAGCCATGGCAACCAATGGTCTGCTTGAGTTCAGAAACGCCCATAGGCGCTGAGCGATCAGCAATTTGGGCGACAAACGGTGACAAGTCGTTGCCGGTGTGAACGCAGAATAAAAGGAGTGGCTAAAGTTTGCTCCACATTTTATCCCAGGCTGTTTTTGGAATGAGGCACAATAAAAGGCAGCCAATCAGAACAGAGACTATTTGCTTTAAGGCACACTAAAAAAAGTCCTGTTTAATTCTAAGAGAGATGTTTGAAAATGGTTGCACAAAAATAAATAAGTATAAAATATTCAGACCAACAGTTCAGTAAAATGCCAGTTTTGTTTTAACGGCTCGTTTTTGCAAGTAAGCGTGTGTATTATATCACACTTTCCTTCTATGAATCGTGAGCTCGTTACCAGGCGCCAACTTGTTCATATCTAATCTCGCTCTGTCTCTTCAGCTATGTACTGGTATAACTATGAGAAGGGCAAAAGCCTCCTGTGTTGGTACAAGTCCAGTGACCCGACCGTCACCATAACCTTCATCGCTGGCGCGGTGTCTGGATCTGTGAGTCCGTTTTGATTTCTCTTGCATCATCATGCTTTTCCTAAAACCTTAATATAAGCTTCTTTGCTTAAAGCCGTTTTCTGCTCAGATCATATCTTTCTGCCTTGACAGATCGCGTTCCTCTTTCTAAGTGAACCATATCTGTCACTGGTGTGAACAGACTTGTGCTCTGAAAGGACCCACATGTGCATTATATGCATACGTATCTGATGTGTATCTGATCTAGGACCACTAGAAAATATTACACAGCTAAAAAAAAGGCAAAAATGCATTTGTGTCACCTCTGTGTCCTATGCTGCAGTAATTTGACCATGGTTAAAAATACAGAATTATAAAATATACAAATGTTCTGTAAATATTTATATAATACAATGTTAATAAAAATGTTAATGTATTAATGATACCAATCAAAAACTATTTTTCTGCAAACCATTGTATTTCAAGGTTGCCAATGAGCCCCAATGCCTTGAGTCTATAACTAATTTTTACAGCATAATCGCTACTTTTTATGCTGATCTACATTATGTGACTATTTGCCTACAGTGCTACAAAGCATCTGGAAAATCTGACAAAAAACAATTAGGTCCATAAGTATTTGGACAGTGATACAATTTTTGTAATTTTGAAATGAAGCAGTCAAGGCCCAATCCCATTTCTTATTTTTACCCCTACCCCCTTGTTTTCGAGTGTCTCCTTGCCCCTTGGAACTGAGTTACAGAGGGTAGTGGTTGAAATCTTCCCTATGAAATGGAACAACCTTCAAATATAAAGGAACATTACTTCATTAACAGCTACTAGCACTGCTCTGTAGGCGACCCTGCCAGTCTGCAGTGACAGCAGAGGAGGGTAAAGTTCAGCTCCTCACTGCTGGGCTTTAGTTACATTTAGGGCATCATATGATTTCAAAGGGGGGGGGGCAATTATTTATTATCACCCACCCCTAATTCTTCAGTGATATGAAGCTGAAGTCAGATATTCTCCAGCTTCTTGTTCTGTTCCACCCTAAACGGTGCAACGGTTCTGACACCTGAGGCGCCAGAATGTAGCTGCTGCACCATTTAAGGTGGAACAGGCAATTTAGCTAGCTAGCTACCGAGACGTCAGCATACCACCATCAATTTTTTGATAAAGAAAAGGACCATAATACATTGAAACAACACTAAACTAAGATGATACAGTGGTTATTGTAACTTTTAACAGAGAAAAAACTCACATTGTGGGTTTCTTTGGTCACTTGTGCTCCATCTTGCCGTTTTTTTCCTCTGAAAAACTTCCATTTGGAGGGCCATGTAGCCCCAACACTTCTCCTTACCCCTCTATCTCAACAAAAATCAGGACGCCCTACCCCTAGACGTGAACATGCAAAACAAAGGGGGATAGTGCTAAGTGGTAGGGACAATGGGGTGAAATGGGATTGAGCCTAGATGTGACTGAAATGTTGACTTTCAGCTTTAATTAAATGACCGTTTATGAATTACAGGCATTTTATTTACGTATTTCCTCCATTTTCACAGCATATCAGGTCTTACTGTGCTTTTCTCCTCTTAGATTGCATCCATCGTCACACTGCCGTTCGATGTGGTGAAGACCAGGAGGCAGGTGGAACTGGGTGAACTGCAGGCTAGGAATCGTAAGTTTTCCAAGAACCCCTGTCCTTAAAACTATTAGGATGTCGGCTAATCGTCTGATAAGTTAATGATTAGATGGCTACTGTTCCCAGATTAACCTCACCTGTATTACTTAGGAGTGTAAAATGCATCAGTGCATCTTGTTTTGGCAGAAAGTTACCTAAAGAATCGAAATCGAATCCAATCAGTAGCTGTGTTTCCATCCACCTTCTGTGCAAATTGCAAGTGATAAAATGAAAATGTTTAAAATTAAAATTAAATTAAACATTTGCTGCCAAGCTGCATGTTTTTATCAAAGTGACTTTTATCAGTAAAAATGCTTTACATGAAAACGTGTGACATGTTTCCATAACTCACTGATGGGAAAATCTGTTTATTTTATTTTTTATCTGTCTGCAAGAGCTGATAAGTCTTAACATTGCTTTAAATTGTGCTCTTGTCTCCTTCTCAGTCCGGCTAACTTCATTTTATAACTTTATTTTTATAAATTTATGTGTAAATGCTGTATTTGTCCCAGAAAAAAAATGTTTCCAGTCAGTTCAATACCCGAAAAAAACTAATTTTCTGCTTTCCGCGTCTTCTAAATATTACTGCCAGTTTTTGTTTCCACAGCCCACATCACCCAGCTTTTTTGGAGCGTTTCATAAAATCCTTTAGGAGGGAAACAGCTATTGTGACACCTGATCATTAATTATTAATGTGCGTGTCTGTTTCTGTAGTGCCGGCACAAGGCTCTTCAACATATAACATGATGAAAAGGATCGTGGGAGAGAGTGGCATCAAAGGGCTCTTTGCAGGTGAGGGTTAAAAAAGTACAGCAGCAACATGGGGCTGTACTTTAGGCATGTTACAGTTTACACATGCAATCTTACCGACATGCTCAATAGAAATAGTCTCTGGATATCATTTTCGTGCCAGCAGTTTAGTTTTATCGTCGCTGTGCACAGAAAAACAAGCATCTTCAAAATGCTAAGTTTAAAGGAAAAGGCAAAACGTTCTTTACTTTCAGTACAAGTTATTATAATGTGGAAAGATTTTATTCCGAGCAATTTTTGATAATTTCTATTAGAACAGGGGTCGCAACCCAAATGTTAAGAAGAGCTATTTTGTCCTTTCAACAAAAATCAAACCACTTTGGGAGCCACAACATTTTACGTCCATTTTGCCACCTCGGCTGTAAATATGTCTCAGTATGTGCTAATGTGCTAGTACAGGCTAAAAATATAAACGAAACACAGACTTACTTTGCTCTGCTTTAAGCTTTAGCTCAGCTGTAGCCGCTTTTCTCGCGTCTCCGGCAGGAAACTTTTCCTCAATAGTAGAACAGTTTCTTATAAAATGTCTCTCAACGTTCGACTTAATACGAGGCTGAAATCAGCTTTTCATTCTCCAGCTTCTTGTTCGAATTTTCCCGTTCCACACTAAATGGTGCCAGAATGTAACTGCTGCACTATTTAAGATGAAACGGGACAATTCCATTTTTTAGTGTTTGAGAGTTTCTCACTGCAGATTAGACGTATCAGGAAACCAGCTGGAGTGATTATAAATGTAAATCAGTCCATTCGTCTCCAAATTATCAATGTTCGCCTTAAATCTTTCTCTTTGCCTTTTCGTTAGCTACTAGCTGGGCAAGATCGTTGTCTGTGTTACTATGGTGACCAGCAGTCTGCGCTGATCTTCAGGGTTAAAGGGTGAATCAGCAGTTCTACATTAACTCCAACGTTGAAGACCATTTATTGTTAAACTGTGTTGAACGATCAGCAGAGCTTTATTTTACTGTAAAGGAGGATTATTTTATTTTTACCTAAATATCTATTTCTAAATGAAGTAGAAAAGTGAGAATCCAAAAAAAAATGGAGAAACCTTTTTTTTTCCCTACAGTATGTGAGTGATGTGCTTTGGGTAGCCAAGATCCACTTCTGCTTTTCTGTCAGATGACCACCAGGTGTCACTGCTGCACATTCAGGAGCATATTATGGCACAGCAGTAATAACCCTGATGCATTGCAATCACAGGATTAGATGACACTCTTTGAGCCATGACTCATAACCGTAACCTTTACGTCATACCTCTCTCTCTCTCAGGCTTCATGCCCAGGCTTATTAAGGTGGCTCCAGCCTGCGCTATAATGATCAGCACCTACGAGTTTGGCAAGGCCTTCTTCCGCAAGCACAACCAGGAGAAGAAAACACGAGTGCTTGCACTCCAAACCAGCAACACCTGATCATCCTTTCAGTCTGCCTTTCCCTCTCCATCCTTTAGAATCATGCACACACACACACACTCCCATGTGTGCCCACCACTGAGCCTGTCCCTCAGCTGAGCTCCTAAACCATCTCGCTGAACATTCAGAGTAGATAAGAAAGTTACTGATGCCCATGAATCATGAACAAGCGTGACACCTCTTAAGTGCTCCTCTTTTAAACTGTGCTGTCTGGTTTTGTCCCATTTGTGAAGCCCTTGATGGATTAAGCTGAGTCATAGCACTCGGGAGCAATGTTAATATCTCACAATGGAAGCAAAAATAATGCCAATCCACCACTGGACTGTCGAGACTGCTTTAAAAAGCAGTTCATTCATCAGGCATGCTCTGATAAAACTACAGTGAAGCTACAAGGATCATACATCTAAGGAATAAAGGTGAAATACACACTTAAAAAAGATGCAATGGTTCTATTTATAACCATGAGTTCTATAAAGAACTGTTTCATGCTTAAATGCTTCTTTGCATGGTGAAATCGTTCTTCAGATTTATGGAGAATGTGTTGTATATGGTTCTATATAGAACTTTTTTGAAAATGGCTCTATATAGCACCAAAAATGCTCTTCTGTTGTTACAAGCTAATAGAAGGACCCTTTTGGTGCTATATAGATCCATATACAACACATTCTCCATAAATCTGAAGAACCATTTCACCATGCAAAGAAGCATTTAAGCTTGAAATGATTCTATGTAGAATTCATGGTTCTTAAAAGAACCATCGCCCTTACTAAAGAACCCTTAAAGAAGCATTGTTTTAAAGTGTGTAAGATAAGACTGTGTGGTGCCAAATGTTTTGCATGGAAAGGTTTATATAATAGGTATAACTTAACAGATGTGCACTATTAGCTGTATTAGAATTCCTACAGTGTAAGAGTTGATTAGTGACATATTGTTTTTATTCTTATTATGTTCCTGCTTATCAATGTTTTCATTAAAGAGGCCTTCCAGCCTAAAACTACCATTTACTGTGATATTTGTCGTGTTTTGTGGCATTCTATAGGGCACCGTTGTATCCCTCAGGGAATTCACAATTCTATATCATTTTCATGTTTTCAGTCATGTTCTCTCACTACAGTACCCAGCATGCATTACGCACAAACTGTGGTTTCAACCCATAGATATACATACCTAGATGCTGTGTTGTCTGTTGTTCTCTATCTGAGGCGCTACGTCCGCGCGTCCGCCATGTTGGAGAGGTCAAGATCCGCCTGTGAACAAATTCACTTGTATTGAGAGACGAAGAGTCTCAGGATTAAATCGGTCACAACTTCCTTATTACTCAACCGATTTTCACCAAATTTGTTTTGTTATAGTCCTCAGATTCGGCAGCTTTTATTTCTTTAATAACTTATGCTAATTAGCCGTCCAGACCAACAGAAAAGTATTTAGTCTGCATCTGACGTTAAAAGTGCTCTGGTAGAAACATAATCTCGCACACATCAGCAAATCCCTTAATGTGTAACTCACTTATAATCTTGATACACATAAAAAATAAAATAACCCCCCATAACACAGAAAGAAGGACAGCTTCCTCTTCGAGTTTTCCTGTTCCACCTTAAATGGTGCAGCAGTCACTTTCTGGTGCCTGAAGCAGCACCAGTTGAGGTGTAATGGGAAATTTGAACAAAAAGCTGGCTGAGGCACCATTTAAGGTGGAACGGGAAAACTTGAACAAGAAGTTGACTTCAGGTTTGTGTAAGAAGGTGCTAAATTCGATTATGAATATCTACACGGATTAAGGAATGCTATAACTCACCCAGCTACAAAGTATAACTATCATTGTAAATAAATAAGATCCTCTGAATAGACTATTAATTGAAATCAGCTTAATATAAAACCAGAGGAAAAACAATCACATCAACAGGTTCTCTGCGCCTCACCAACCACAGAGCCATATCTACATAAACATCACACAAACAATACGCATCACACAGACATGAGTGTGGATCACTGCGTTCCCTCCGTTATATAATCCTGTCCCACTTTAGTCTAATTTTGGACAGTATCTTTCTCAAACTGCTGCTCTGTAATGGTCCTGAATGCAGTCCAGCAGCGACGTTGACCACCCCAAAATGGCGGCGCCGTTGACGTGCCTGGCTGGACCCAACACAGTATCCAGGTATGGATATCTATGTTAAACAAAACTAACTGCTAGCGTAGCTGCTGACCTATAGGCTTAAAAATAAAACCGAGCTAGAATTTATGTCCCTCTTACCTTTGCCGTCGAAGAAAGTTTTAAAGAAGACGTTAATGCTATCTTTTTAAGCACAAAATGCCTTTAACAAGTTTTGACAGAGATAAGAAGGCAAGCTGAGGTAAGAGTAGCTGCTTGCTAACTTCAGCTGTTAGCTTGTTGACCCTCCACATTTGATGAGTCATTTCTGCCATTTGAAGACGGTTATTAAAGTTATACAGCTGATTAAGATACTTGGTTTCTAGCAGCATTTGGTGCTCTTTTATACCCATTTTAACACATTTTGTGTTAGTCATACGCAAAAGTTCGAACACCCTGTCAAATAATATTATGTTGATTTTCTAAGTGAACACAAGTTAACACATGCTCTTCAGAGAGCACACTTAAATATGGCATTTTCTGACCATTTTAGTGGTTTCTGATTATTGACCAAGTTAAGCATATTGGAAAAAATAAATGTGTGCCATAGCTTTTACACAGGCAACAGTTTATGCTTGTTTTTTTTCCCCTAAATATGTTCAATTCTACAAATGAACAGTAATTATGCATTAAAATGTGCAGAACTGTGTCCTCTGTAGAGCACACGTGTCAGGCTCCAGTCCTCGTGGGCCAAAACACTGCAGACTTCAGCCACTGCCTCATTAAACACACCTGATTCAGCTCATCAGCTAATTAGCAAAGCCTTCATGAACTGAATCCAGAGCGTCAGATGAGGGTTAACACTACTCTCCGCAGCACTTTGGCCCGAAAGGTCCCCAGTTTGACCTGCCTGCTGTAGAGGACTTATTTTCACCGAGAAAACAAAGAAAGCACGTGATTTGACCAAGGGCGCCCAAACTTTTGCATTCGACTCAGTTGGTAGACTATTCTCAATCCAGCAGTGACACTGAGCTGTGTAAAACCTCCACTGTTGTGTGTGATCCATTAACATGTCGGTGTCACTGCAGTGCTCAATGGTGGTCTTGTGGGGGTCCTGACTTTTGAAGAATAGGGTAAAGATACACCTTCATGTATCTACACTCACTGTCCATTTGTCTTACCATACAGATACACTCAGACTGTAGTCCATCTGTTTCTCTGCATCCTTTTTTAACCCCCCTTTGCCCTGTTCTTCAATTAAGATATTTTACATTTACTTAGGTTGTTAAAGATGGTTCTTATTACTAATTATATAATGGTAGACATTAAATATTATATATATATATATATATATATATATATATATATATATATATATATATATATATATATATATAGTAAATAAACAAAAATGTTTTCTTAAGCATCTAATAAATATAATCCAACAAGTTAATGCCATATAAATGAGCCAAGTGTGTTTTATTTGTGATGCAGAAGATAGATTTTACCCAAATAAAATATTTTAAAAGTGTAATTGTATAAATATCAATGTAATTGTATAATATATAGGTGAGATAGAGTTAGTATCGGTATTGGTACTCAATATCGGCCGATAACGATCAGGTATTGGTATCTATCGGAAGGGAAAAAGTGGTATCGCTGCATCTCAACTAAACATAGTATTGGCTTGGAAGAGATAACTCAAGAAACAATAATTATTGTTATTATTGTAGAATATGTAAGCTAATCAAATGTTCGGCATCAAAAAAGAAGGAAACAAACCCATAAACTTTGTTTGCAAGACTATTTCATTTATTTAAGAAACCATGGCCGATGGATGTACAGAAATAAAGTGCAAAAATACCATTTCAGTGCCAGCAGCAGTAACACCCTGCTATGCTTCAAACACAAGAACAAGGTCAGATGAGCTTGACAGAGAAAATCCACAATATAAATAAAAATACAGGCATTTAACAAAATTCTCAAGAGAAATGGTAATGAAGAAACAACCTTACTCTCTTAATCTGCACTGGTTCACCTCCCTCTGCTCTCTGTTACATTCATTAACGGTCACTTTTGTCTTTAGTGATTTCAGGAAACAAATGTACATGAATCCAGCAAATCAGAAGTACATTTATACTTAAATAAAGGGAATGTTCACATGGAAATCTGTATCTTCTTATTAACACAGGCTAACTCATTAAATATGCCAAGAGAGAAGCCTTTTGATTACCCGCTCTCTCATTTGGGACAGGGTTATTTTCATATGTGGAAGTGGAAGAATGCAGTTATTACCCACTTTTCAGTGATTTCAGTCTCGTCCGAATCCAAAATCGTTGTCGGTGTAACCTGTAGTGAACAAAATGTACCAAACCTAATCCGCTTTGTCCAGTGTAGATTAATCCTTTCACTGGATCCTTTGTTTAGAAGTCAAAATACAAATAACGCTCTATACAGGGTGTCCCAAAAAAATTGACATCAGTTCATAGTCTAATAACAGCCAATTCTCCCTCAAATTATCTCAAATTTTAACAAAATGTGTAAAAGCTAACCAAGTTTTTAATGTCTTTTTTCAGGTTGAAGAATGGCGTTCACTAGAAATAAAAAAGGCATTTTGTGTGTTAGAATATGCTCAAACACAGTCAAACTAGAGTGTGCAGCGAGCATTTTCCAGAAAATTCAACAAAAATACACCAACTGGAAAGCAGATTTGGACACAGCACATAAAAAAATTGAGAGGAAGGCTGTCTGTGCAGGACGAAGGGATCTGGACGACCGGCCGTAACGGAAGATATTACATTTGTGAAGCTGTGAAATCGGTTATAAAACCTACATCCCTCTGACTTTCTTGTTCGAACTCTGATAAATGAATCTTGTGTTGTTCAACATGAAGCCTATTTAATTTTGTTTGCCTACGACATGTAGTTACTCAGATATTCACATCTCAAATGATGTCAATTTTTTGGACACCCTGTACACGCTACCAGCAGCTAACACTGCTGTGCACCGAAATTACGTCGCATTAAACCAAGACCCCGATTACACCTGGTTGTTTTATATGACTTGTATCTGCAGTGTAAGCGGTTAAGCTTTTAACCACATGCATTTACACTTGGCAGTCAAACGTGTCTCCAGTTAGTCAGAACTAAATTAGTGCCACATTTAAAAAAATACTATAAAAGAAATATGTGGGCTCAATTATTTTAATTCAGCGTTTCATAAAACCAATAAAACAGGACTAATTATGCTCACTTTGTAGTAAAACGTTCATTTAAGTACTGATGACATCCACCAGCATAGTGATGTACTTCATTGCCATAATAGTAGACATAATACTGCCCAGCCAACTTTTACCTGTAGAAATAATCCCAGTTTATGTTCATTCTGGTATGTTAATACACCATTATATCCAGTGGAAAAGGAGGA